AAGTGGGAAATAACAATTCTCCTTACCTCTTTAGGCTTGCTGGCAAGAGCAACAGTTCCGTCCTTATTATACTTTATGGGCGCTCCCCCTTCTTGAATTAATGTGCCATAACCCGTGGGTGTAAAAAAAGCTGGAATACCTGCACCGCCGGCTCTGACTCGCTCTGCAAGGGTTCCCTGGTGGGGAAGGAACACAGTTTGCTCTATAAAAAACACATTTCTGCAATATACTGCATTTTTTTTTAAACTTCCACTAGACCGTACAAAAAAAAAGAATGTTCAGCTAGTGAAGTTTTGGGTAAGTTTATACAATATTGAACTAGAGGTTGTGCCAAACTTAGTACATAGATTGTATTTATTGCTCTGAGGCAGTGTAGAAATCAAATGCATTGACTGGCTGATATCAGTCAATCCCTTCCATTTCCTCGGGTTGAAGGTAATATTGACAGATCAGAACGTGTGATAAAAGCCGGCAAACTGCAGTCTCTATAACCCGCCCATCGCAACTTCCAACTAAAGCAAAGGTGATAACCAGAAGCCAAGTGCCTTTTGTAACAGATTGCATTGTTAGCTTCATCAATGACTCCTCTCCAGCCAGCAATATTTCAGCCAGTGTGGCAATTGCAGTTTAAACACAGAATATTTCATAAAAATTAAAATCTATAACTAAAATCAGAAAATAAAAACTAGAATCAATATTTACTTTCTGGCAAACATCACTGTAGTCAATTAAAGGGTAAAACACCTTTAGGATGAATTGGACCACTAATTGCGAAGTTCATGTCCAAAGGCCAATGCCCGTCACAAATGCTCTTTGACTCTTAGACTAAACATACAAACTCCCACAGACACTCCAAAATCTTGAGAAAAAAATCTTCCAAAGAATGAAGGCTGTTAAAGCCCCAAAAGGAGGCAAGTATCACAGCCTATGGTTTTGGAAAAGGGATGTCCAACAAGCTTTTTATAGGGATGACTGTCATGGGTCTATAAACTTTTTGCCATATAGGGTAGTCAAGAGCAAGGGCTAAGGCAAGGCATGACTAAAATGTCACATCTAGTTTTACTTTGCACCCTACAAAAATATATCAGACACTGAATAATGCAACATGGGTGATGGATGTGGAAGTGTTGGTCACCCAATCCTACAATGCTCTCCAGAAGGCCAATGTAAAGGAATAGGCCGACAGTTTAAGAGGGGCCACCTAGCAAGAGGGTAACCAGCAGATCGAACGGATTCAATTACTATTTGTGTATTGAGCCATTTGATGGGTTCTCTCCAGACATAAGGAAAGCCCACTTCTGCATCCTGCACGTACAGCAAACTAGTGAGGAAAATTAAACCAAGTTAAGAAGCTAATGGACAATAAAAATAAATAACCCCCCCCCCCCCACACACACACTTTGAACATAATATGTACTTGGCTGGGAGTATCTAGACATGCACTATATTGCCAAAACTATTGGGACGTCCCTCCAAATCATTGGATTCAGGTGTTCCAAATCACCTTCATGGCCATAGCTGTATAAAATCAAGCACCTAGGCATGCAGATGCCTCTACAAACATTTGTAAAAGAATGGGTCGCTCTCAGGAGCTCGGTGAATTCAAGAGTGGTATCGTGATAGGTTGCCACCTGTGCAGTAAGTCCATCCGTGAAATTTCCTTGCTACTAAATATTCCACGGTCACCACGTAAAATGACAGAACAGGGTCAGCGCATGCTGAAGCGCACAGAAGACGCCAACTGTCTGCAGAGTCAATAGCTACAGACCTCCATACTTCGTGTGGTCTTCAGATTGGCACAACAACAGTGCGTAGAGAGCTTCATGGAATGGGTTTCCATGGCTGAGCTGCTGCATCCAAGCCTTACATCACCAAGTGCAATGCAAAGCGTCGGATGCCGTGGTGTAGAGCACTGGACTTTAGAGAAGTGGAGATGTGTTCTCAGGAGTGACAAATCACGCTTCTCTGTCTAGCAATCCAATGGACGTGTCTGGGTTTGGCGGTTGCCAGGAGAACGGTACTTTCCGGACAGCATTCTGCCAAGTGTAAAGTTTGGTGGAGGGGGGGGATTATGGTGTGGGGTTGGGCTTGGCACCTTAGTTCCAGTGAAGGGAACCCTTAAGGCATCAGCATACCAAGACATTTTGGACAATTCCATGCTCCAATCTTTGTGGGAACAGTTTGGGGATGGCCCCTTCCTGTTCCAACATGACTGCACAAAGCAAGGTCCATAAAAGACATGGATGAGTAAGTTTGGGGTGGAGGAACTTGACTGGCCTGCACAGAGTCCTGACCTCAACCTGATAGAACACCTTTGTGATGAATTAGAGTGGAGACTGCGAGCCCGGCCTTTTCCTCCAACATCAGTACCTGACCTTACAAATGCCCTTCTGGGAGAATGGTCAAACATTCCCATAGACACACTCCTAAACCTTGGACAGCCTTCCCAGAAGAGTTGAAGCTGTTATAGCTGCAAAGGGTGGGCCAACTCAATATTGAACTCTACAAACTAAGACTGGGATGCCATTAAAGTACATGTGTGTGTAAAGGCAGGCGTCCCAATGCTTTTGGCAATATAGTGTATATTGTATGCTGCAAGATCAAAGCCCAGTTCACCATACAATGGCCCTGTCTACAATGTTGTACATCCCATATAATGCATGATCAGCTTCCTGCAAGATTCCCCAAGGACTTGTTCTTCCAAAAAGGAGAACAGCCAGCATTCCTCATAAACAAAGCATTTCCCAGATGTCCGGGGTTAAAGGTGCTGAATAAACCGGTTTAGAGGGGAGGCCCTATACTACAAACCGAACAAGTCATTGATCATCATAAAGAGGTAATAAATCTCACCTGTGGTACCAGCTCCACTTCTAGTTCTCCTTGTAGATACTGTCTCTCAAACTCTGCATTCTCACCCACATAGGATGACACCATTCTCTTGATCTGTTGGGTCTTGAGCAGCAGACCCAAGCCAAAGTCATCAACCCTGCAGAAACAAATGGATTGAAAATCAGGACAATGGACCCGAAGAGCACATCATTTCCCAGTATGTACAGGTGAATATAACCCCAAGTAATTTCAAGAACAACAAGTCTAGATTTACTAAAAGCATGTCCCCCAAAACTGCACAGTTCCACCTATTCAACATTGTGATGCTGTCCTGCTCCCTTCAGGCTGTTGAAAGGCTTTCCACTAAAACAAAATGGAGGCTACAATGTACGTGCAAGGGTACCCCGGAAGGTTTTATGTAGCCACACAGGGAAGATTTTTTTTTTTTGGTAAGAGACAAGTATGATCTATACAGAAAGTGCTATGGAAGGGGGACAACATTAAGAAAAGGTAACAAAGTCAGCCCACCTGACTGTTCCCACACATGACGGCTGGTCGGGAAATATCAAGTGAAAGTCTAGTCAGTGGGTACCTAGTACTGACCAGCAGTTAGGGACATCAGTATACAAGGTAAACATTTGCATTAGATATACCTTTTATCTTATCATCCTAATAAGCAGTCAATAGCAGAACTGGAAGTGTGTGGCAGGTTAATGATTAAGAAGGTAATTGAAGTGATATTCCTAGGACTAGATGTCCACTACTGGAACGCTGCCAGGCCCAAACCACCTACATGATGGAACGTATCCACCCCTCATTTTCTGGCAGCCTGCTCCGCTCCTGCTGCCCAGCTAAAGGTCATGCTGCTGTGCAGATATCAAAACCAATTTCTTATATAGTTTATACACTTTGGAAATGTATCTCCTCAAACCAAATCGGGGCTGTCTGAAATAAAATGTATCTTCAAGCATATGAACAAAACACCTCTATATAGACCAGGCACTCCGCAGTTGTCACCTCTGGCCCGCAGTAGTTTTGCCCTAGCAAAAACAGTGCTGCCCAAATTTGCACGCCTAAGTGCTTTTCTACATACACAAGAATATGCACATCTGGAACAGCTGGTAAAGTACAGGCTTGTGGCTCCATAAACTATAAATTGTAACCGTATTTTACAAGCAGAACACCAAAACATTTTAAACGATAAGTGCAATGTGTTATCAAATTTGAGTTTGTGGTCAGTTTATTACACATCTTGTACCAGTAAAGGGGCGCATGTGCAGTACAATAATACTTTTACAGAATTTGTTGTGGAAATAACGCTAAGCTGTAATAAATCAAACTTAAGCCATGCTAATAGGATTGCTGCACAGAAGGTGACGGTACTTGCATGCGATTCCCTGCATCCCCCTCATTTGAATCCAGACACCGAAAAAATACCCAGTGTGGAGCACTTTATAACATTCTATCCCGCCTCCCCACAATTCAATGCTCTGTACCCAAGCGCCCAAACAATTAGGTATGTAGAATATACTGTATGTATTTTCAGAACCTTAAAAAAAACATATAAAAAGCAGCTCAAACTTTTTTTTTTTCAAGCTTTGCATCGAGTGAGGAAAGGTGACAGACACGACGGAACAAGAAATCTGAGCGTGTATGGCTAGCATTCCTCCTCTAGTTAAATCAACTATGCGGTGTGGGTAAACCATGCCAAAACTAAGAACTTGTTGTTATTCAGAAGTATAAACCTTATTGTACTGTGTGGCTCTGAATCTGGTTTAGACCTTCGCGATAACAAATGAGAGCAACTACACAGGAACAAAGTTATTCCTCGTGGACCCAGCAGTTAAATAGGTGGACTTTCAGATAAAGTACACTTTAATTATTTTTGCAAAAGCCCCCACCCCCGCACATTGCATACTTCCGAGATCCCGTGCATGTTTAGATGCTGCACCAAAGCCCTCTCTGTGCAGTTCCAACCTGCACAGTAGAGCACCATAGACTTCTGTGAGGCTCGTCTACCTCCGTCTCCCATCCAAGAGGCACAGGGAGAAGAGCCCCATTTTATTCAAGGGTGATGAGGCCATGGACATCGGACCTCGACTTTTCAATAGTCGAAATAGGAATAATATTTGGGACTTGTGGCTTGGTTCCGGCAGCTCTTCACAAAATGGGGAACCCTTTAGAGCAGTGGTTCTCAACCCGTGTTACCTCAGGACCCACATTTGTCCTTGCTCATTAAGTCGCGACCCAAATCGCACTGAAATGGAATGTACGCCATTGGGTACTGCGCGTTCCGATGTGGGTGTACGAACTGTGGGTGGGAGGTGTGTTTGGAGTACCCTTCAAATGAATGCCAACGCAACACACCTCCCATACTAGAATGCACAGTAGGTGAGATTGCATGGTACCATGTGTGAAAGAGACCTCAAAAACACTGACATACATACACAACCAGAGACACAATCTTACACACAGACATTTTCACACACACACACACACACCAAAATGTTAGTGTCCCTTCCTTATGAGAACTGGAGTCGATCCTCAGCTTGGGGTCCAGTGTGGGCTGCAGTGCTGTGGCAGAGCTCTATCCATATGTGCATTGCTTGTACAGGTCCCTTGCGTACCCTGTAGAGGTGCCAGGAGCCAGAATGTGACGTCACTCCGGTCCAGGCACCTCTACAGGACCCATTAGGGAGCTGTAAGCAATGCATGTATTCATGGAGCTCCCTCGTGGCCACCCCCAGCCCACCCCACCTCAAGCTGACACTCGGCGTTGGGCAGCATATTTTGAATGGCCGCTTGGCGAGGGAACTAACAGTGCTGCGCTGGCAGTAGACTGGGGAGCCTCTCGCCTACAAAACTGGAAGGCATGCTGCGACCCACTGAACATGGGGTCGCGACCCACTTTTGGGTCACGACCCACCAGTTGAGAACCAAGGCTTTAGAGGGAGGGGGATGTCCAGAATGAGAAATCCATGTGAAAGAAAACTAAAAATGAGCGCCAGGTTTTCAACTCTTGTCCAAAAAAAAAAACCTTATGGCTTCACAAATGGCAACAAGAAGACCAGGTCTTAAATGGACAGGTGAACACTCATTGACTCTACACTTACAGCCCCTGCAGACAATCCTATTTCTCAGGCAGGAGTGGAAATCCTTGGTGTGAAAAGATCTTTACCAGCAATTCAGCATTTGTACAAAGTCTTTTATGGAGCTCTACTGTGCAGATGCAGCAGAGAGAGGACTTTGGAGCAGGATGTAAACACACACAGAGACCCTGGGCACTAGATCGAGAAGTATGCACCCATTAAGTTAGGGGGGCAAAGAGAGTAGTTGCACTTTGAATGAGGTGTTAAAAACTAAGTGCACCTTCAGACAGATGGGTGGCAGGCTCCACAGAGAAGGGGGGAGGAAAAAAAAAAAAAGCAGCTTTTTAGAAGGCAGTAGATCCCAGGGTTCAGGAGGAAATACTGCCACTTCCTGGATTACTTTTTCCCCTTTCGTCATCTTAGTGGGGATTTCAATTGCAATACCATGCCACAACCGCGTACCCACGTGATAGTGAAGCAACCGTCAATGGTCACGGTGAGGCATTTTGTTTTTTAAAATGCAAGCAGAATGCGTACCTGACCTGGTAGAATCCTCTTGCATTCCCTGTACAGTAGGGCTGCAGTGCGAGAACGAAGGAGCACAAAGAGCCCATCAATTCATGTGCTGACAAGGCATATGCTTGTAGGAGGAGAGAGCCGACTGACAGAGCGATGATCTCACCATTGTGCTGCTTCTCCTTTCACTGTCCAGTCACAGGCTGGGATCAAGTCGAGGAAGAACTGGGCTCAAAGGGAAGTTGGTTGAATGATGCCGACCATCAGACTGAGGATATCTAGCAGAAGAGTACTGCAAGGGAAATCTCTGGATTGAAGTTGAATTTTGCACCAAAAGCTGGTTTTGTTCATTTATCTTTTAATGGGCTGTTCAGTTTTATCTCGTTTTTGGCCAGAGTTACGCTTTAAATCAATTAGATAAAAGTTCTCCTTTCATATAAAGTTTTTAGACTGTAAATGGATACAGTGTGCATTTTCAATGACGTGGTTAGTTTTCACTAGTCATGTATGATAAGGAATGAAGAAACAGGTCACCAGCACTCAATTTAAATAGATATGTCCTTTTTAATGGACAATTGTGTCACAATTGTGTGTCACAAAGCCAGGCTTTGTTGATTATTGTGACACAATTGTCCATTAAAAAGGACATATCTATTTAAATAATTTGAGTGCTGGTGACCCGTTTCTTCATTTTGTACTTTGGACGGTACCATCCGTGATAGTTACTACAAGCACCATCGTTCTTACTGGCCGGGATTGCTGTAAGGTGTGCAGGGAGCACCCTCACCAACTGAAACATGTATGATAAGGAAACATTCCCATTCATCACCTTCAGTTAAAATGTAATCGCGAGACAGTGTCACATGTGCTGAGAACAGTGTCACTGAGTTCCGAGAGCACAAACTTGTTAGAACTGCATTGATTGCTCATGATGAAATGGACCTAGTGGGGTAATTTATCAGAATGCATACAGGTAATTCTTTCTCAAGTGTAGAAAGTAAAACACTTTTTCATGTAGCGGCCATTGTATTTCTAGGCTTCAATTAAGAAACTAGCTCTGTTGGACTAGAACCTTGCACGGGCTCAGAGTAGGCAAGGTCATCAACGGTTTGCCAGCTCTCCCTGCTGCCAGGTAGATAAATAGAAAAAAGGGCAGAGCCATTAGTCCAGCTGTGGAAATGTTTTAAAAAGGTATGTGCACTTCACACAATCTCTGGCAGAAATGGTTAAAGCTGAACTCTAGGCAAAAAGAAAAACAAAAGTGTATTTGGGTCCATTCAATGAGATACACAGGTCTGCCCCACAACACAGCCCTGTCTGGCAAGGCAGGAGAACAGATTTTTCTCTGCTGTTCACCAAGAGCAGCTTCACACCCGAATTGTGGTAACGCACGTTACGGTTTTGCACCATGTGAATTAATGTGCCAACACACTAAAGCCGTGGTCTCCAAATTAAAGCCAGTGGGCCAGATGAGGCCTTTATTTGCACAAAGCTGGCCCTCGGGGCTCTATTCCTTCTAATGCCACCAATAACTGGACACAATTCCTCCCCCGACACCAATAATGGGGCACAATTTCTCCCAATGACACCATTGATTGGGTACTATTCCTCCCACTACTATTCCTCCCACTAACACCAGCAACAGGGCAAGAATTCTTCCACTGATACGAATGATGGGGCAATATTCCTTCCACTGAATCCAATGATCAGCCATTGTTCCTCCCCTCATGGACCACAGGTACGGTTCAGTCATTTTTTTTTTTTTTCCCCAACTGACCTCTCAGCCCGGGGCATTGTTTATTCCCACCAACACCAGAACATTTTCTACTCCCACTGGCCACTACCGGCTTAGTGACACTAAACTCAGGAGTTAAAACCTTAAAAATACAGTCAAGTACCCCATTAACAAAAATGTATCTTTTGTGTATCATTGTCCTTTCTTCTGGAGTGGGGCTACTTTTGTTCTCCATGGTCCCAGTGTGTTGTAAAGTAGTCACCGCTCCAAGCTCGCGCCTGTGATGGACTACATCTCATGTTTAGTTTACTAATTTGTATTGAAATTATAGTCTATCACAAAACTCCCAAACTGGGAATCATTTGTCCCGAATTAAAATGTACATTTGTAAAGCAAAGATCTCTAGCGTATATAATATGTTATAGAGCAGACAGAAACTAGAGCAGTTGTCATGGCAACCAATCAGCAACTCTTCAGTTGGGATTTGAAAATGAGAGACAGAAGCCAATTGGTTGCAGTGCAAATCTGCTCTAGATATTGTCTGCTCCAGTTTTGATAAATTACTCCCATTATATATATTTTTTTTTTTTTTAAGGGAAAAAAATTATATTTTGCTACTGGAGGATAGTGAAGTGGTGGCAGATTATGCGACCAGAGCACTGTACAGCACCGGGAAGCTGGGCGTTGTGCGGGGACGGCATGGGGAAAGTACGACTTTTATACTTTGCCCTCTGTACACAACACCCAGCTTTTTAATAAGTTACAGACCAAGGGCAGCGTTGCTCGGGTTAAAAACCATTACAGGTCTCCCTTTAAACATGAAACTAGAAGAACAGGTTGTTAGAGCTATTAACTTTACAAAGTTAAAAAGATGTTACTTTACTACAAAAATCACCATGTGTAAAAACACCATAAATATGTGAAAACATGTGCAGTAAAGATTAAAGTCAAAAGGTCTTTAAGCAATTTCAAATGCTGATCAACTGACAACGAATGCTGATCCTTGATGGTTAAAAGTTTTAGCTTCCTGCAGAATCAGCTGGCCCCCTGAGCACTGGCCTGGATTTCCTGTTTTAGCATGGCTCCTTCCCTTGCAGTGTCCTATGGACCCTTGCGTGTGCTGGTAAGCTGTGTGGGTCTCCACAAATACAGACACAGCAAGGCTCACCGCTGTTCTCCTCTTCTACAAGCTTAGGCTGCTGAAGACTGCTCTGTCACTTAATAGTTCGCTGGGCAATGAATATTTGTTTGATCTGGAATATTGAGAAAAAGTTTGCGTATAATACTACTTTTTCTATGAAGAGTGCACCATGTTAAAAAAATTATCCCAAAACCTGAATATCTTTTATACAAGCCAGATGTAAATATTGCACATTGCTTATATACAAGCCACTTAGGCCTCATTGCGGCATCCACACCCGTATCTGGGCGCTCCTGGGAGTGACAGGTGCTACGTACCGCAGCCTGTTCTTCCCTATGGGAGGACGCAGCCGTACGCATACCCAGACTGCAAATTCACGTGGGTCCGGGTGTCCGTTTTCAGACGTAGACAGGATGGATCCTGTCTGTCTCCGAGCACAGACACATGGACCCGCACAGATGTGCAGTTTGGGTGTGCGCAAGACCGCGCACTCCCATTGGGAAGAACAGGCCGCTGCACGCAGCACCTGTCCTTCCCGGGAATTACTCAATATGTGAATAAGGCCTTAAAGTTAATGCTAGCAGTGCTAGAAAACCTTCCACTTTCATTAAGCGTTGTAAAAACAGCTCTCACTATCAATTAATGCCTTATCTTTCACTCTCATTTCCCCCAAATATCTCATTGTGTCTGCCTGTGTGACTTCATTAAGACTTCCATCTACAGAACAAGTGATAAATTATTAATAAAAACATGTCATAGTTCAGCTACTTTGTGTGAAACGGGGAAAAAAAGGTCTATACGGTTCATTGGCTGAAAGCTCACTTAACACGGCGCACAAAGGCAAGAAGGCGGCTATGAGCCATCAACAAATCCTGTTATTAGTTTGTCAAGTGACACCAATATCACTGCTGCAGTAATAGTTCTGGATCCCCCAGGTCACCAGCAGCATTTGCAAGCTGCCCAATGATCTTCAGATCAGGAACCCTGAAATTCTGGCTTTCTAAGCTGAAATGCATGCAACACAAAATCCCATGTATTCCTATGGGGGCCAATCACACAAAACGCACATAAATATACACCTGGTGTTTGAAGTAGACCCCAAGCTTCTTTTGTGGCAGTTTTCAGCCAGTTTTAAGGTGCCCACACACGTTGCGATAATCATACGATAATCGCGGGAAATCCCACGATCGTACGATTATCGCAAGGTGTGTGGAAGGCGTGCGGTCGTACGACTTTTGTCTTTCGAGCATGTTTAAAAACCAGCCGAGAATCGTACGATTTTCGGCTGGTTTGTAGCACGATCGTGAGATCAATGCCGCACGGGCCACACTGCAAGCGCACACTGCCTGTTCAGCTTTGCGGTCATCAGAAGCTTCAATGAGTGCATTTACAAAAGCATTAAAAATGGCTGTACATAAAAATGTTTTGGCAGGATGTAAAATATATCAATTCTTATACAGATGTATTAAAGAGGACCTTTACCTTCACTTTAAAAAAAAAAAAAAAAAAATCACATCAGCATGCAACTCTACATGCCGATAGGAAATCATCTTACATTCATCTTACATTCATTAAGACATATTTTTTCCTTTACCGACAATTACAGTTTTTCAACGCCCGGTCCTCTTGGGCATTAGTGATGTAATGTGCCCAAGTGTTGCATCCTGGGAAGGTTACATCAGCAGAGCATTGCTGGGAAATCTCATCTAATCTCAGGGAAAGGCAATATCATCCTTTGAGATTATGCGCATAGTTACATGCCTTAGTCACATGTGCCAGAAATTAAGAGGAGATATATTAATCTAGCAAAAACTGCCACCATAAGAAGAATGGGAAGAAAAAAAATGAATAAATAGTTTGCAATTATCCAGAAGGATCTGTAGATTGTAATAACTAAACATTGCTAAAGGTGCCTTTCAAAGATATGGTAAAGTTCCTCTAAATATAACCTCCAGAGGCAATAGAGTCAGCTCACCATACATTGTGAAACCATGAATAAGACACATTTATTTATAAAGGGAAAGTCCTGGCACATTGAGAAGGACACATTATAAAAAAACATTGTCTGGCAGTTATCACAATGATACCTTCCAAATAGAGAATGGGAAACAGTCCCGGTGGCTTGAGTGCTGGCTGAGAAAGCAAAGTACATACCCGGCATTATTGCTCACAGCTGTGATTCCTTTAACACCAGTCTTCAGAAGCCCAGCTATGAGGTTCTCTGGAATTCCACAAAGACCAAAACCTAGAACAAGACACAAACATCAAATATACATCTGTAGTATTTGAAGCAAAAAATATGTACATATCATTCATATGTATATCATTTTGGTTTTAAATCTCTAGATCTCAGGAACATCTCCCTACCAAATGGTGACAATGGGTGAATGAGTCTAGTACAGATATTGTGAGTCCACAGGTTATACTAGAAATCCAGAGGGGAACCGTCTACCTCATAACCTCCTACACTAGGTGCTTTCTTACCTAAAAGAAAACAGTCGTGACCTTCCCAAAGCAACATCTTTATAGACACCCTGTGGCCACAAGCCTGCTTGCCCAAGCTCAAGAGAAAGTTCTATACGAGGCCTACCCCATAACCTCTGACCCTAGGTGATTTCTTACTTTAAAAGAACAGCCATGGCTTGCCCAGAACCGCAGCTTTATTGGCATTCTCTGGTCACAAACCTCAGCCTGCTCGTGCTCAACAGAAGATCCTATACAAGTATACGAGAGCTTACTGTGCAGGTGTGGCCAAGGCCGAAAAGGAAGGTGGCCACAGAACGCCAACACAGTCGTTGCTCATAGAAGGCCATGGCTAAACGCCTGAGGCAAGTATGAAACTGGGGTGTGTTATAGGGTAGGTGAGAAGGGGGTCAGTCAACTTTTCAATATAGGTTTAGCTACACTAACTAAGTTTATCACTACTGACTGACACCTGAAAATGCTTGTTCCCTGGATGTCATGGTGATCCCCAATGGCTTTATTGCTTTTTGGAAGTAGTGCCATTCTTCCCCCTCCCTAAAAAAAAAGAAAAAAAAAAGTCACTGTACTTAATACTTTTTTTTCAGGTCCATGACAAAAAAATTAAATGAAATAATATTCTTTTAGAGCACCATGCAACTAATAGGGGAGTGGCAACTATATGGCAGATGAGGTTTAATATTGAAATGTAAAGTAATGCATTTTGGGGTTAAAAATAGTCAAGCGGAACACACATTAATGGGTACTCCACTAGGGAAGTCAGACATGGAAAAAGATTTGGGGGGTCATAGTAGACCACAGATTAAATAGCACGCAATGCCAGGGTGCGGCTAACAAAGCGAGCAGAGCGCTGTCTTGTAATAAAAAGGGAATGTCCTGTAGAGACAGAGCAATAATTTTGCCACTTTATAGATCGCTGGTTCGACCTCGTCTTGAGTATGCATTTCAGTTTTGGTCACCAGTCCACAGAAAAGGATGTCCTTGAGCTGGAGAAACAAAACTAATTAAGGGGCTAGAGGACCAAAGCTATGAGGCAAGGTTGCTAAATTTAAACCTGCTCATGCTGGAAGTGAGGCGATTGAGAGGGGACATGATTTTGATATACAAAATGTTTAATGGTGATGGCAACATCAGCCGTAAACTTTTTACTGTAAACTCCCTAACAAAGACTAGAGGCCACCTAAAATTTGGATTTTTCCACAAAGGGTACAGGGGCTTCCTAGCAGTTAAGGTGCCCATACACTTGCTGATCGTACGATAATCGCGGGTGATCCCACGATCGTATGATCGGCAGGTGTGCAAACGTTTCTACTGTACGGTCGCACGTCTTGTCTTCCGAGCACGTTTGAAAACCTGCCGAAAAGCGTGAGATTTTTGGCGGGTTAGTGGCGTGCTCGGAAGACAAATGCTGAACATGCTGGTGTGCGCAAGCGCACACTGCCCGCTCAGCATTGGAATCATCGGATGATCGCAAGTACGATCTGCCTGTCCAAGATGGGCAGATCCTACGAGATTTTAATTACTTTACAACCATCACACAACGAAAGTCGTATGAATGGCCAGCTTTAGAGCAGTTAAAGTCTGGAACTCTCTGCCACAAGCAGTGGTATCAGCTGAGAGTACCGAATCATTCAATAATAATTTAGATACCTTCCTCAGAAATCATTACATACAGGGGTACAGGTACTCTTAAATACTAAACCACACAGGGACATACATACATTCATTCATAGACACACAAAGGTTGAACTTGATGGGCCTGTGTCTGACACACACACACACACACACACACACACACACACTTTACTAGGAATAGTCAGTCATCAGCCCAGATAGCAAGCAATTGAGCTGCAAGTTTGCCAAGTGTCACAATTTTGTAGCACAATTACAGCAAGTCTGCATTGCAAGTCTCCAGATCAACGTGCTTTGCAAAAGTGCTGTACACTTGCAGAGCTCTTGCTAAGACCTGCAGGACTCTTGCTGTAGACTTGCCAAGCAAAGTTGCTACAAAATTCAAAAAGTATCAACTAGAACTTGCGCTGCAAGTGTTCTGCAAGTCTACAACTTGCCAGGGAATGTGTGCAGCAAGTTAGAAAGAATTACAATGTAACCCTGCCACCCGTTTGTTGCAAGTTATCCTTGCTATCTGGGAGGATATAGGCAGATTAGCAGTAATAAACTGATAAACACTGGAAAATTTTCTCTTCTGACCTCAGCTACTAAATCGTCTCTGCTCTTTACCCAGTAGTGAGGTTTTATGGTTTTTAATTTTCCATTGCATGCATCTTCTCATTAGCAACCAGACACCACAATGCTTACAGCTGTATTATCTCAGTGATTCCTTACAACAAATAGTTAAGTGCGGAGGACAGCATGGCCCTTAGGCATTTCACAGACAACCTTTCACACCCGACCTCACAGAGTGTTTACAGTTCAAATACACAAGTGCAAGGCTAGAAGGCACAGTGCCAACGACAGCTACCTAGAGTCCAGTCTCCTACCCACAGTGCCAACGACAGCTACCTAGAGTCCAGTCTCCTACCCACAGTGCCAACGACAGCTACCTAGAGTCCAGTCTCCTACCCACAGCGCCAACACGCTACCTAGAGTCCAGTCTCCTACCCACAGCGCCAACACGCTACCTAGAGTCCAGTCTCCTACCCACAGCGCCAACGACAGCTACCTAGAGTCCAGTCTACTAACAACGGCAGCTACCTAGAGGCCAGTCTCCTACCCACAGTGCCAACGACAGCTACCTAGAGTCCAGTCTCCTACCCACAGCGCCAACACGCTACCTAGAGTCCAGTCTCCTACCCACAGCGCCAACGACAGCTACCTAGAGTCCAGTCTACTACCCACGGTGTCTACTACCCACGGTGCCAACGACAGCAACCTAGAGTCCAGTCTACTACCCACCGTGCCAACGACAGCTACCTATAGTCCAGTCTACTACCTACAGTGCCAACGACAACAACCTAGCGTCCAGGCTACTAACTGCAGTCCCAGCTACAATAAACTAGAGTCCATCCTACTAACTACAGTGAAATAGAATCCAGTGTACTAACTACAGTCCCAACTACAGCAAAACTAGAGACCAATCTACTATTTAAAATGCTAATGACACATTTTAAATAAAACCCGTTTTCCGTACATACCTTATTTTAGAGCCAGTGATGTTATCACTAAGCCTCTGTGCTTCTTTATACAAAGCAGGCAGATAATGGCTAATAGGAGGGGCCAGCAGGGTGCTTTACAAAGATTTTCAGAAAACATCACAGCCCCCTGCCTCAGTAGTCCTCTCAAGAGCTCTCAGCCCTGATGAAAGCAGAGGGCTACCTCTTAAGATGAATACTCTTACTCCAAATATCAAAATGCCTTGATGGGTGGATGTCAGTCTGGAGGAGTGAGTTTTTGCAAACAACCCTAGGTAACACCAACATGTGATGCAGAGCCTTCAGGCGTAAAAAAAACTGAATGAATGAGGTGGGTCTGGAACAGTCAGGATGGGGAGGTAAGGTCTAGGCTAAACAAATTTTCCTCATTTATACTCACCACCGACCAGCAGCGTTGATCCATTGGGTATGTCCTTCACAGCTTCTACGGGATCACTGTAGAATTTAGCATTGTGGGAGCTGGATGTAGAAAAGGAACAGCCGCAACCCTACAAAAAGAAATGGAGGCAGTGAGTGGAAGTAAATAATTACACGCAGAGGACGTTAAGGAGGCATTTCACAGACAATTAACCTGTCACAGCTGACCCCACAGATCACAGGGGAGGGGGGTGGTGTTAAGGTGTTTACAGTTCAAATACACAAGCGCAAGGCAGCTAGAAGGCAAGTGCACGGCGGCTAGAAGGCAAGTGCACGGCGGCTAGAAGGCAAGTGCACGGCGGCTAGAAGGCAAGTGCACGGCGGCTAGAAGGCAAGTGCGAGGCTAGTGCAGGGTTGCCACCTGTCCAGGATTCACCTGGACAGTGCGGGTTTTGAATAAGTGGCCAAGTTCTCAGACAGCCACACATATTTCTAATACATCATTTATAAAGTTCTGACATATCTACAAGTTAATTCCTATGTAAAGTTTCACCCAAAATAGTTCCGACAACATATAGGCTGGGTTCACACCTGGGCGTACAGAAAATGCATGTTTGCCGCGCGTTTCGTGCAGCGCATTTTTAATGCGATTTGCAGTAAAAGAAACGCGCCAAGCGCGTGTTTCCGAGGGCTGTCCGTCTGTATCCTAATGGATATGCACGGCAAATATGCCCCAAAGAAGCTCCTGTAGGAAAGCGCTGAAATACGCCCAGGTGGGAGCCATGCCCAAAGGGAATTATTGGTTTTCACATGTTGAGTGTTTTACAGCACGTAGGAACGCGCTGTAAAACGCCCAGGTGTGAACCAGGCCTAAATGTATGTAAAGAGAAGCATCTGCCGTCCATTTCTGCAATACCTGCTCATCCCACGTTAAAACCCAAGTATAAATACATGGTGATCCTGCCAGAAGCTAGAGAGCACGGAACTTCCTTTAAGTCCCCTTTACACCCTTGTGGTGTGCTGCGTTACAGAAGGCGTGAAGCCAGCCTCTGGATCTGTTCATGACATCTATTTGCAGTAACACACATTAGGTGCGCTGCCATTTATTCTGAAGGGCACCTTCCGACAGTGGTGCGTTGCAGTGCACATTAGTGCAGGGGTGAACAAGACATGGCACTCAGAGGTTGTCCTAACCCGGGAACCAGCAGGATTTGTTTTCTCAGTAAACAGCCCCATTCACAACTAAAGAAAACCTCAAAAGTTAGGCACCACCTGTTTTATGTAATTGGCGAGCTGGCTCCTGGGATTTGTCCATAGTGCATTGTGATGGGGTGCACTGCTAAATTTGGCGCATGCACCAGTTTTTATTTTGACAGCAAAACGCACCAACACGCACTCCAACAGGAGGTGCATTGGGGCGTCATTCAGAATAAGAGGCACCACATTGCCTTTAACATGCAGTGCCGCACATTGTTGCAAATAGGGGATGTGAACGGGCCCCTAGTGAGATGAGTACAATGCCTCTGCTGCACTGAACAGTGTTAGCAGCCCTGCCTGAGTTTTCCTCTGCTGAACTACAGAACACCTCCCACTGGCCACAGCCTAAGGCGGGGGGAGTTCTGTAATCCAAAGGAAGAATGTTTTCCCAAGTGTGAGCCCAGCCTGAACCTCTATAACCCAACATCAGAATATGTTTGCAATGTAGTCACACAAGGTTAAATAAGGTGCATAACGCACTTTATTTATTCTGCTCTGTATGCAGTGCTATTAAAACAATATCAGTGTTATTTGAAAGACCATTATGATGAAGTCAACGTAAAAAATGATTTTAAAGCGGTTATTGCAGATCCGCTCACTCTTTAGGGCCTGGTCAGGCCTGTGTGTTGCACTAATGAGCATGCGTTTAATGTGTCTTGTGTTAAGATGCCGCATGGCACAATTTTCTTAATGTAATGCAACACATGGATCCTCCAATTCTAGGAGTCATGGTGAGTGACGGTGCACATGCGCTGTAGTGCATTGAGGCGCTATGCAAGAATTAGCTATGCCGTGCACTGTGGAACGTGTTGCTGTGTGATTGCGGGAATGCATGGTAAAAGACACCACAGCGCACAAGTGTGAACAGGACTTTTTAATGTGCATTATTTCACACGTTAAGGCAGCCCATTCCATTTACAAATTCTGTCTGGTCTTTATCATCATCGTCCGTACGCCCCACAGGAGTAGAGTCACCCCCTTCTATTGGTCCCGGTGATCTTCATATCCAATACGTATACAGTACATACAGGACTATATAAAGGGCTCCTTCACACCAGTATGTTGTGTTGAGCCTGTGTGGAAACAATGCAGCTCAAGAACACAGAGAACACAATTGCCCTCTAGGTGTCCTGTTCACACCATGCAACTACGTTGGTGTACGTTGTATCAAAATGCATGTACAATGCAATTCACAAAGACATGTTTATTTATTACAGGCATTTATATAGTGCCAGCAATATACATAGTTACACATTCACATCAGTCCCTGCCCTCAAGGAGCTTACAATCTAAGGTCCCTAGATCCCATGCATACATGGGCCAGTTTAGAGAGGAGACAATCAGGCCCCATTCACACTGAGCGATTTATCGTGCGGGGATATTTACCGCATGGCAATGGGGCTCTGTTTGTCGCGGGTCGTGCGTCACTACAACAGGACCCTTTTTGGAGCGGATTTCAGAGCAATTCAACTTTGCTCAATGCAACCATTTGCGCGATGTCACGCGATTTGCGATACGCTCAGTGTGAATGGGGCCTTAAACTTCCAGCAACTCTTCGCAGTGTGGGAGAAAACCCGGAGTACCCGCACACAAGCACAGGGAGAGCATGCTCCTTGCAGATAGTGTCCTGACCAGGATTTGCACTCAAACCAGCAAGGCAGCAGTACTAACCACTACGCCACCGTGCAGGCAACGGCCATCCCTATAATGAGGTAGCCCGAGGCAGTTGCCTCAGGTGGCATCTCATTAGGGGGGTGGCAGAGGGTCTGCCGCAGCGTCCCAGGTTGTCAGAGCTCTTAGCAACTTGTGGCTCTGTCCGCTTTGTCTGGCTTCTCGCCCAGCTCACCGATGTCGATGGTTGCCAGGACGCGCTGGCTGGCCTTGCCCACAGCTCACCGACATCACTGGTTGCCAGGAGGTCGGCAGAACGCCAGCCAGAGCGTCCTGGCAACTGATAACGTCGGTGAGCAAGGTGCAACTGGACAGAGAGCCACTGACAGGCACCGCTCTTGACACAGCTGTCTGTCCCACCACATCCATCCATGTCTTCCCCCACCATGGTAGCGATGGCCCCTGCTGCAAGGACCGGTCTAGCATCCGGTGGGACCAAAGTTTAGGGGAGTGCAAATTCTAGACCAAAAACTAGCAGGCTCAGCCCGTCTGCAAGGGTTACATTTAAAAAAAAAAAAAATCCCAGAGCTCTCCTTTAAATGCAAAAGGTGCATTGATAAGTTGTTATCATGGAGAATATCAATATTAAAGTTTTGCAGACATTAGACCACACCTTTTTACTGGGGGGGGGGGGGTTCAACCATGCCCCAGTCTAGTCACAAACTAGAACAGAAGGTTTTAGATACATATTAACAATTAAATGATAGCATCCCTTTACCGGTGACCTTGCAAAATCAGAAACAATGAACGCACACAGCAAGCTTGTGACCACAGAGGTGACACAATGCCATGTGACAACATGAGAACAGCTGCCCCACCATAGCCCAGCCACTGTGACGTCAAGGTCACTGGCACTCCATGGTCCCCTATACAAAGTTACTGTCACACTGTACAATGGGAATGAACATTGCACAGCAACAGGACACAACACAAGTGCAAATCAGCTGCTTGGGAGAAAAGTGCAGCAACTGAAACCAGCAAAGAGTGCAGCACACAGCCAGCAGTCCCAGCAGGAACCTGTGCCAAGGAAAGTGGTAAACAGGCTGCCAGCAGAGGCTGGCCATGGCAAGATGGCATACCTTGGTGTGTGCAATCCAGGCAGTGCTGACAGTCCTATCCCATGTGCTGTGCAGGCTCAGGCCTCTTCTGAGAGCAGGAAGAAATCTACAGACAGACATCCTCCAGCAAAGTACACACAAGGTTGCAGATTCCCCCCCAGCACAAGAGTCAGATGAGGAGAGGCCCTGATCAGTTCGAGGAGGAGGAGGAGAGCTCACTTATGACATAGGGGAGGGCTGGAGACTCCCAGCTGCCTCTTATTGTTCACATGCAGGGAGGTGTGTGCTGGGGGTGTGTTAGCACTGCTGGCATATCATTATCACTCAATTATCACCGCTTTATGGTTATCACTCCGGCTTCTGTGTCTGCAGGGTCAGGGAGGTGGGGGGTTTAGAGAATCGTGGCCCTTCCTCATCGGAGGAGGACCCCATGCATCCTCGTGCACTGTTTTTTTAGTCTGTTGTGATTTCACGATTCACTTTTTTTGTTCACAGGGGTGAAGTTTGTCTTCGATGCACGCACCGCTGACTTTTCATCATTGGAACTGAAATAATCGGCAGCTACACCCTTAAAGTAGCCATGTGCCTTAACGAGGAACTCCAGGTACAGAACAGACTGCGAGGGACTCTCCCCGCATTGCAAGGTTTGCTAACCCGAACACTCTAGTGCCGTGTGTGGCAATTTTGTTTTGTTTTTGTTGAGACTATAGAGGAGAGAGTGAGAAGAAGCAGCCAGGAGACCAGCTATAGAGGACTACAAATCCCAGCAATACATTATACAGCAATACAAAATAATATGACTCTGGGTTGGCGCCCTGATGCCTCCAGGTGGGCTGTGCGGGCTCCCAGGTGGGCTGTGCGTGCGCTCAGGGCTATGGTGTCTCAGCAGGGGTCCGCAGGCGAGCAGCACGGTGTCAGGGAGGAGGAGGAGCAATCACAGATTCAGCTGCCTAGGTCCCCAGCAAGAACGATCTCGGGTGGCCTCATCTGCCTAAAACCTGGATCTTCCTCTGAGCTGCGGGCACCTATAAATAGGCACAGGCTGCCCGCAGCTCAGAGGAAGATCCGGTTTACTGTCAGAAATTTTAAAGTGCCCTGGCTCCAAAACCGGAGGGGTGGCAACCCTACCCGCACTAAAAAGGTTACATGCTCATTTGGTCTAGGGGGCTCAAAGCTAACGCTCGGTCACACGTCGGTCAGCGCTCACC